TTTGCGAATCTTATTTCCATATGTTAACTCCGATGTGATTGGCCGGTGATTTTCTCAAGGTTAAGCTTTGTTATTGTTTTGTCTCATGACCCTGATTCGGGACGTGAACACTGACGTAAATTGTTGTTGACATTTTTTGCTTGTCCTCAGCCTGTCTCACCACAATAGTAGGTGAAAGCCTTTCTAAAAGGTATTAGTGTAAACTGTGTGGATGAAATCAACTTAGTGTCCATTTCTTCTTCTTTTTCTACTTATTATTATTATATGGTTGTTTAGAGAATTTACTCTTTACAAAGTACTAAGCTTTAATTTTTTTTACAATTAACATGAAAGATACTCATAACAAATGTGAAGTGTACTTTTCATAGTTTATAAAACATAATCAATGCATTCTTCTTAGTTTGAATCACATGACTATTTGATAGCTAAAAGTATAACATCTAATCGACTACATTTCTGCACACGCCTTAATTCTCACATCTTTAAGTCACTCAATAAATAGACCTCAAGATGAAATATATATGTATGTGACCACATCTGACCACCTTATGACTTACATACCAAACGTTTGTGTGCAAATAATTAGCCCACAAATTATAGATCTGGAATAATTAGGAGCTTAAAAATATACGAGACAGAAATGAAATTAAACAGCATCCTATGAATTAGTTCAAAGGACATAGGATTATGAGTGAACTAGAACTTGGATACACTTTTTCTAATGTACCTGATTAGCGTAACAACATGTCGTTTAATACTACAGAGTCCAGAGACAGTCACCGCAACACCAAGAATGTTTTTTTCGCCTTAACCATTCATTACAGCTAGCGGATTAGAAAAATGATTTTCATTACGATGGTTACAAGGCTAGACCAATGAAAAATGTATCACATTTATGTGAACTTAAAGCTGATATAAAAAATCCCCGTGTCATATCATTAGAAAAACGTAAGACAACAAAGAGAGATCTTCAAGTATTGGTTTTTACGAATTTGATTGATTGGTTACAGGATTTCATCATCAGCTGACATTGGTTAGAGAACTATTGGGAAACCTGCAAGGAGTACTGCCAGACAGCTGTTTCGTCCTAGTTTGGGATTCTTCAGTAGTACGCATCCACCACAGGGGTTCAAACCCAGTACCTTCTGGTGACAAGGCGAGCTCGTAGACCATTAAGCCACTCACAGGGTGGGACCCGATCTAATGGCCAACCCATGAATTCTATCTTCTTCTAATTCACGAAATAGTGCGACCGCTAGCCAATGTCTTCGGCGAGTATTTGTCCTCACACCCGACCTGCTGCACCATACTGGTTCAGTACCCCAAGGTTTTCCAATGGTTCTCTAACTGATGTCAGCTCATGATGAAATCCTGTAATTAACCAATCAAATCCGTACAAGCCAATACTTGAATATCGATGAGATGCTCACTAGCGACTGGCCCTATTCAGGTGGGAAGCTACCTGGGTTCTAGTGGGAATTCGTGACCAGCAGGGTGCAGCAGGTCGGGTGTGAGGACAAATACTCGCCGAAGACATTGGCTAGCGGTCGCACTATTTCATGAATTGGAAGAAGATAGAATTCATGGGTTGACCATTAGATCGGGTCCCACCCTGTGAGTGGCTTAATGGTCTACGAGCTCGCCTTGTCACCAGAAGGTACTGGGTTTGAACCCCTGTGGTGGATGCGTACTACTGAAGAATCCCAAACTAGGACGAAACAGCTGTCTGGCAGTACTCCTTGCAGGTTTCCCAATGGTTTTCTAACCAGTGTCAGCTGATGATGAAATCCTGTAACCAAAGAGAGATCTGTTTTTGTAACACAACTTCTCTTCAGAACTATACGGTTATTTAGCGGTTATTATTTACAATGTAAATTGATAACAAAGTCAGATGCTTTTATCATTTAGGGACAAAATAAATCAAAAAAGGTATACAAAATAATAATGTAAGAAAAGTGGTGAATAACCTTACGTAATTGAGAGGGTTGACAACACTATTTCGTTAAGTAATGAATAACCATTTGGAAATAACTGATAAGAAACATGTGAACAAAGAATTGACAGCAGGTTACAAAAATTGAAAAACGACTTCCTGTGTCAGTGGTTCACCGTTAGTATGCTCAACAACTACGCATGTAGTCCAGGATTCGATCCCCGGCAGATTAACTCCAAAAAATCGCTTAGTCGGCTGTAAGGCTGTTAAGGAGGGGAGGTTAGGAGTCAGGCTAGCAGCCTCACTCTGTAAAAGCAAGCACCACTGCCAGTGCAACTTGAAAGTTCAATGTTTTACTCCCTATTTTCCAATCTAAACGCAAAGGAATGAAGAAAGCTGAGTTTCAGTCTCTACGTGAACATCACCTTTGAGATAAGGGTACATTCAGTTGACGAGTGTTAGATAAGATGAAACGTGCTTCCTAGCTTCCACTGCTACCCATCACCAACTGAGTAACATTCAGTTAACCTCAAGGCATCATCGAAGTGTCTGTAACCAGGTGCCGATATGTTAAATGAGACCACAAAATTATCTATCTAGATATAGAGCATTAAGCCAGGTCTACGAGCTCGCCTTGAAACCAGAAGGTACTGGGTTTTAACCCCTGTGGTGGGTGCGTACTGATGAGGAGTCCCAAACTAGGACGAAACAGCTGTCCACTACTCGCATGTTTCCCAATGGTTCACTAACCGACGTCAGCTGATGATGAAATCCTGTAACCAATCAAATCCTTACAAACCAACACTTACATTTGTTTGTATTTTACGTAATTCTGCTGAGTCGTCCTATTCTTCTTAGTCAACATTATTTTACAAGTTTCCTGATTATATAATAACTCGCTGCTGACGCCTACCAAGTAGCTTATCTTCAACTCCACAATTAACTTTCACCCCTCCTTCAAAACTTAGATATCTTGTTACCGACATGTATTAGTTAATTGTTTTGATGGCTTTTAACCTCTTGATTTCACCTCCCTCCGCTATGCGTTGAACAGATGGACTAAAATAACCACTTGATTGCAAAAATTTTGATTTGAAAAACTAAATATTAGTGTATAGTCGACGATGAGGAACTAATTGATGAAAAGGAATTATATTTCTCTGCTCAGCTTGTTGTTTTTTTTCTAAATGTGTAAATGATAACTTGGAAATTCAAATTATAGTAGTCATTCCTATTGCCCGTTTACCAGACTAGTTGAAAATAGTTACTACTGCTAGTGTTATTTTCCAAGAGTTAGCTTGTAGGTAATTGATTTGCTTCAAGTTTGATTACGTACTGATACCACTGGCAGGACCACTGAAAACCGGGTAATACTGAATAGCTGTTCGGTATTAGTTTGAGACTCTTCAGCAGTACACACTCATGATCCTTCTAAGTATCAAGCACAAGACCTTCAGATTACATGGCCAGCTTATTGGCTATTCAGTCAAAGGGCCGGAACCCAGTGTGCCATGGATTCAAAATTCTGTCATTTCGCGATGTACAACGCCATCGACAATCGATGTCATTCGCAAGTACTTATCCTCATATCTGACCTGATGGATCCCAGCTGGTCACGACTGCTCACCAGAACTCGATACGACTTCTGTAGGCAGTCACAGTCACTAATGAGCATCAAATTGATTTTCAAAAGTTGGTTTGTAAGGATTTAATTTGGGGCTGAATGGTCAATGAGCTGGCCTCATACCTCGAAAGTCCTGGTTTAATGTTACTATTAATAGGTAGTCAATCTTGTCAGCTTTGCTCAGTCTACTGTAATAATTTTGTGGCGTGAGCTCTCTGCAAGCCAAAATTGTAGACAACAATTTACGTCAATATTTACATCCCGAATCGAGGTCATGAGAAAAAACAATAACAAACCTTAGTCTTCCAGAAATCACCGACCAATCACAGCAGATATAGGACTTAACTTTCTAGGAAACATCCACAAGCAGAACAATATAACCTTCAGTAAGAAAACAACCAATCACAAGACGTTGCTTCATTGCTAACAATAACGGATAATAAGGTACATAAAAATCTATAAATATCTGTTGATTTTCTCAATAAACGCTCTGTTCCATGGCCCTTGTCTTCTGTCCTTACAATTTAACCGTAAAATCTAATCTCGTAGAGCAGGACTGGTATGACTGACATTTTGGTGTTAAACTTCCGGTTTTTAATTAATGTGTAATTTGAACTTAACAACCAGGTCGTTATAATAAATCGATAGTGTTTAAGGCTGAATATGGTTCTGGTGGACTAGCTAGCGCATATATATATAATTTAAATGAACGATATAGATTTGATAGCAGTATCTACATGATTACAGTAATTATCTATTACTCCCGTTGCTCTGCTGAACAATCACAGATAAAAGAACGCGATTATTCCTAAACGAGTAAGCCGAGTCAAAATGAATTTTCACCAATTAACACTTTTCAGAAATACTTGTATAAGCAGGCTGTGAAGATATGACTTATCACAATGAACACTCAACTTCCAACCAATGAGTTCAGGATTTGAATCCCATCCTTCCTACTTCAGTCTGGACGACACAAAGATCTCACATCAAATGCGGTTAATTACCCGATACACGCAAATTGTGTTCCGGTCAATTATGTGTAGACAAATTACTTTCTGTATAATTCATTGCAGTCACCTTACAATACTGCTACTTTCTACCTTAAAAAACACACTGTAGGTTGGTGTATGAATCAGGGTAGAGCTAACCTTATATGTTTCAGTAAATGTAACAGGTGTAAAATCCGAAGGATGAAATGTATCACATGAGATGTAATACTATTATGGCCTGTGCTACTTACAGATAGATGCAAGTAACAGGTAAGACCTAAGTATGACCGACCAAGAGAATGACCAACAAAATAACCTTGAAAAAGCAATCAGACGAGTCCCATTCTAAAAAACTTCATCCCAACTTTGTAATTCAATATTGTTTGAATAATTAGCCAGAACAACTATCTACACGGACAAATTGATTTGATTTTGATTTTGATTTTTGATTTTTGATGTACAGCTTGATTCCACACTGTATTTTTGGTACAAGTATGGAATTTTCAGCATGGATATCGGTAGCCCAAATTTTGCAGGCCAACCATAGATATCAAGTGTGCGCCGGCGTGGGCTCGAACCCCGGACCATGTGCATGGTCGGCGAGAGTCCTAACCACTGTGTCGATCGACTCCTCAGCATGTACACCAATCCCTCAGAACGATTCAAAGTGTACTTGATTTGAGCAATAAATGGATCACGAAACTACATGATGCACAGTTATCTTAATGAATTCATATACGGAAATTTGTTTGAACTAACACTAAGAACACCAGTGTAGTACTGGGAGACATCTATAGAAGATATAAGGGACTACCATCTAGCCCTAATTATTTTACATTACTTAATTTGCTTTCTGTAGAATCTCCTAATCAAAGAACACATTTGATTGGCAAAGGTTACTCGACTGGTCCTTCAATAGGGTCGCTAAACTTTAGTCTAGTTCAGATGGCACTTACAATGACGTCCATAGAAAAGTATTGATAATTTAAGCCGATAGGAAAACCATTGAAAAGGCAACAATAATGAGAAGAACCTTGCTAAGCGAAATACAAGAATGACCAAAAGATGCCTAATACCGAAAGGATATTGTTTGCAAATTGTGAAACCACTGTGCAATCCATAACTTTATAATGGACACTATTTTCTGCTAGTATGCATTAGATTAGCTCTCATTAATCCTGTTACCTTTACTGCAAATAAATACGCTAGATTAATCAACTTGAAAGCTTTACTATTTCGGTACGCTATATCAAGTGGAATGGTGAATTATTTTCACATCAACTAGTAAAGCCTTCGTTATAATCTCAAGGTAATACTTACAACAAGGTGGACGTGATGGTTTAAAATGAAGAAAATATTTTTTCTGGCTGGAATGATAATCATATCATTTTACCAGTCATAAGCCAATGGAATACAACACACTGGTTGAATTATAAAAAATGATAGTGGGGAGAGCTGAGGTCTATATTACACACTACTAAAGATATTAGTCTAGCTGTTTTAACATTGTCAATAAGTAAGGCGAGAACCAGAAAACCGGTTGTAATTGAAACCCATCTACTGAAGGTTGTGAGATCACGTTAGAGCCATCAGCCTCAATACAATAAGTATGACTTATTCTTCTTTTTCATTCCTTCACATTCCCAGTGGAACATAGGGCTTCAGGCTAGAGACTTGAAGTTTCTGTAGCAGTGTTTATTTTTACAGAATGGGGCTGCTAGCCTCATGCCCGACCTTTCCTCTCTACTAGCGTTTTTATCACTGGCTTAGCGAGGTAAAGGAGTGAGTCGGCCGGGGATCGAACTCCGGATCACATGCGTGGTCGGCGAGCATTCTACGGCTGTACCACCGACGCACACGAGCCACTCACTATTGAACAAACTCCGTTACCTTAGTCGAAACAGCATTTGTGTAGTCAAATGGAAATTGGTTGGAGAATTTCATCATGAGAACCATTGGAAAACCTGCCAGAGTAAAATGGATAGCTGTTTCGTACTAGTTCGGGACTCTTCGTCGGTACGCACCCAAACTTGGACGAAACAGCTGTCCAGTACTCCCTGGCAGGTCTTCCAATAGTTCACTAACCGACGTCAGCTCATGATGAAATCCTTCAACCAATCAAACAAAATTCTTACAAACCAATATTGGAAAATTGGAATGAATCAAATGTCTTTAAGTTAAAATTACACGTAATCATTTCCTTTCAGCTCAAAAATCAAACTGATACCTCAGTACAGTTATTGTCTAGTCCAGTCTAGGCTTCTGATGTTTTCTTTTCCTCGTGTAGAACAAACTAAAACTACTCATACTGCTAGAACTAGATTCAAAGCAGTAGTTTTAACTGAATTTTTCGGCTTAGAACTCCGAACATAAGGACAGTAGTTCAAATCGTAACACAAATGTTAGTTTTAAGTACTAATGAAGCAGAAAAATTTATCCCCCATTACTTTTGCTTACTGGATATATCACACAGTAACGGATTACGAAATGGATAACGTCTCGAAACCCAATTTTAACAGTTCTTGTTTTCCTGCTTCAATGGCCCACTAGGATAGCAAAACTTTCCGGATATCGGGGACAGATGATGAATCATTCCTATCGCATGTATTCTCGCCTGACTCCTCAGATAAAGCTTCAGTTATCAATCTTCTTTCACCTTGCGATATTAGCAATGTCACTCTGTTACATCTTATTGTATGGTTGGTTGAAACTACATGTGGTGCTGTAATCGAGCTTTCCTCCAGATTTCTTGTTTGAGTATTGTCATCTAGACTAGATTTTGCCATGTTTTTGTGCTTCGCAAATCGGATTGGTTCTGCCTTACTACTTTGATTTCACGATTGTTGCAAAGTTTATCCACTGGGATTCACAGAACCACTTAACTAACGTTATTTGGTTTTCAAGTGGGTTCGTGGATTTGAATGCCATGTGAAGTCAAATACATTATGAGATATGAATTCAATATCAATACTATTTTATTGTCTGAGTTGTACACTATAGAGAAAGCACTAACATTCTGTTTCATTGAAATCTCATGTTAACATTTCAACCCTGATGTTTACTTGAAACAAAACACATTTGACGGTATTTTGAAGGCGTATGGGTGAGAAATCCACGGCTTCCAAACATCTTTCTGCCAATGTTACGGCAGGATTCGAAAATGAAAAACTGGACCACAACTAACCAAATAAATCTCATCTATTATCAATGATCGATAACAATGTGTAAGCGAAAGTAACTATGTACCTTAACACATTAATCCAGATGGAATCCGTCGACTCATTGTGTGGTAACAGCTGTCTACTAGCCAAATTCGTAGACAGTAATTTACGTCAATGTTTGCGTCCTCAATATTGGTCGTGAGAAAATATGAACAAAGACTGATTCAAAACCAACCACAACCGAATTTGCGTAGGCGGATGCAGTTAACATATAGATGGTCTGACATTCAAGAAACAGCCACAAAGAGATGCAAGGTTAGCTTTCTGTGAGAAACAACCAGTCAGAAGACTGTGTTTGCTTGCTTAAATAATCTACAATAATATACACGAAAATATATATAAATACGTGCTGATTTCCTTAATAAAGGATCTGTTGCCTGGCCCTTGTCTTCTGTTGTTACAATCGAATATAGTTTTTTTATTCCTTCACGTTCCCAATGGAACATAGAGCTTCAAGCTAGTTCCTGTAGCAGTGTTTATTTTTACAGGATGGAGTTGCTAGCCTCATGCCCAACCTTCCCTCTTTGCCAATTTTATTACTTCCTTAGCGAGGTAAGGAAGTGAGTCGACCGGGAATCAAACCCCAGACCATGTACATGGTGAGCGAGCGTCCTAACCGCCGTTCCACTGATGCACACTAACGAATATAATATATGCACTATCAATCATTTACCGTCTCTTACTGTTACCTAAACCAACACAAACTTCCTGGTTGGGATCCTCGGGACGGTAAAAACCAATGGCTCAAAATCGTTCTCAATGGCTGGAGCAGATGCATCCACTCCTTGCGACTTGTGACTTCCAATGAAACTGTATTGTTCTTCGTTATTACTATTCCTTTGTTTTACACCTCTGTTTACTGTCTCTAATATGCATTTCTTCTACTTTCTTCTGTTGCTTTGTGTACTACAAGGAGGGAGTGTGGCGACTTGAACTGCCGCACATTTGTGCAAAGTTCTATGTCGAAAACAGACAGATAGACAAACTGAAAACTACCTGACAGTGTCAGATAATTAAAGCTTCAAAGTATACATAAATCCCTGAAAACCACACTGTTCTTTATTGTTACTTCCTATTTATTCACGGAAAGAGCATTCAATAGGTTGATATTTGTACTTCTTTTCAAATGTGTCCAGAAGGTAACAGTTTCAAAACAAATTACAATCTGATTTGCTGATCCACAACAACTATCAATACTTTTACACTTAGGTCTTTGGAAGTACACCACGATTAACATAAAGTACAAGCATCCTCACAATATTTACAAAATACGAGAACCTGAGACAGCAGCATAAAACTGATTATCATTCGTTTAAATAAATTTATAAAAGGTGAACACAACAGAGGAGAAACATTGAAATGAAAGACAAAACTTTAATATTTGTTTATTGTTGAATTCTCTAGGATAGCATGTAGTAGTTGGATAGTAGAAAAATTTTGGTGAGTAAAACGCACGCAAAAATGCATCAACGCACTTATATTCGGCACTTTCAACAATAATAGAAAATAATAAATCCTATAGGGGGGAAACTTTAGCTACAAGAAAAAGAAGAAAATAACTAAGCTCAGTACAGATCTTTTTCTGCTTTCTTTTCTTTTTTTGTTTATTCACGCGAACCAGAATCGGCCATAACTATTCGAGGTAGCTTAGAAGACGTGAATTCTCGTGTCCCATATACACTGCCAGCCCGTACAGAACTTTTAGTTGTATCGTTTGTTAGTGAAGATGACTTCTGAGGATGTAGAGTGTTTCTGTACATATTGCATACATGTATATATCCTAAATATGTATCATTAGACGAAGAACTGTAGTACGAGTGGGATGTTTTTATGAGGGCTGAGCGTAAAAAGCTTTTCACATTGGATTCAAGTGAAAGTATGCGTGAAAAAGTTGTTGTTGAACGGTCACCTTCTGACGGAAATAGGGAACAGTACTCCTTAACAGACTGAAATTTAAAAAAAAAAGTAGTCAGAAAAAAGTTCCAAAATTTAAATAAGTTAGAAATCTACAAAGTATGCTGAAATAATTACAAAGAAATGTTTGAGTATTACCACGAATAGCCAATCTAATCCTGAATTCACAGAAATCGTACCTCCATCACATCTAAATGAAGGGAAACGTCGATACTTTTACTCCCATAATGAAAACAGAGTGAGGATAACCCTAGAGAACAAACTGTCTATAGCTTATAAAATACAGTAGACTTAGGGGAATTGATGGTTTTCTGTGATACAACCTTGCCGCTACCAGAGATTTGTTTAGAAGAAAAGAAAAAGTATAAGTTTTTGCACTGAAGGTATGACTTAAACAGTTCCTAACACTAGTCAGCCAGAGAGTTTAAATTTAGTGTGGCAATAAATCAAACCACCAAATAAGTAATTTATCTATAACAAGATTACAGATACCACATTTTGCAGGCATTGACTGCCAATCTGGAGATGAAATAAAGCGAAACAATCTGCCTAAATGTTAGTGTACTATGAAAACTTGACATCATTCTTTTGAATGTGTATTCAAGATAAAATTTGATTACAATTTCCCCCACTTTTCTCCAGGACTTGCGTAACGAAACCGAAACTTTCTGAAATCTTCTTTTATTAGTAGAAACTATTCGGTGACCAGTAATAATTTTAACATTTTAAACAAAACTGTTTTACATAGGACGATGTACACCCTTATTAAACGACAGGTCGGCAAATTTTACAGATAAACCAGAAGATTTAAGGATAACAGATAGTCTTCAAGAAAATAGATGCTCTGATAGATCTATGCTCAAGAGGTGGTAACAACAGATATAGGAAGAAATACTACACATGCTTGATTAGTATTTTAAGACAAAGCTGTTGATCACAACATTCATAACAATTTGAAAAGAAAATTATGCTTATCAAAGTAGGCAGTATAGCACGTCCATTTTAGTACATAGCTTTAAGCCAAACGGTTCAAGGTGAGTCTACTTATTAAGATTGAATCCAATTACCAAGCATTGATACCTTATTCATCTGGCCGCAACCTACAGTTACCGCGTGAGAATTGAGGATACTTGCATCAGCTGATGCTGTAACTGGTAGAATGTGGCACAAACCTCGTATTCACTGACTAAAAGTTGAATGCTTCAGTTGGTGATATATATTATATATATTCGTTGACTTCGCCGACAGTGACAGGGCAGTATCATTAGCTCTCAATAAATGTGTGCATGGTACACGAGAAATCTGCTCCATTTAATGAAGTTTTTAACGAGGTTGATTGGCTGATCGGTTTCGGCATAGAACTTTGCACAGAAATTCGAGTTGCCACACTCCATATAGTACACAAAAGGAAGACAAAAGAGATTTAAAAGAACGACAATAACCAGAAATGTGAAGAAGAAGGAATGGTAACATGGGAGAACACAACTGTTGAATGGATATGACACATCGTAGAAAGCGAGTGCATCTGCGCCATTGACAACGATTTCGAGTTATATCACCAATTGTTTCCAACCATTGGTTCTTCGGATCCCGAGGACCCCAATCAGGAAACCAACAGCTCCCTACGTGGCAAAAACTAAGCGTCAAGGTTTTCGTGAAATTAACCCAAGCTTTGGTTTGACCACCACTAAATCTTTTCCATCGTGGTCCTAAGTCAGCTAACATTAATCGTCAAGGAAGGCGATGTCTAGGCGTGCATAACACGTATGCTAACCATCTCAACCCACGTAGCTCTACAAATTCATCAATTGACTTTCCCTCCTTACTTAACACTAGACGCCTAAACTCATTATCACTCACCCGATACACCACCTAACACGGGAGACACAATGTAACACACCTATGATCAAAGACAGCTAGTCCTTTCATATCTTTCACTTTCAATGGTCATGTCTCACAGTCATTAGGGAGGACAAGACAAACTGGCGAGCAGTACACACGTTCATTGGTCGATAGCCCGATACCACATTTATGCCACACGAGCCTTTTGTATCCGTGCTGAGATTTCATCAGCGATCAGTTCGTTGGGGTTGATGCAACTTCCCAAGTAAGTAAAATGGTCAACAAGCTCTACCATTTTACTCGCTATCTTCAGGCAAGGAGTCGATCCAGCCCAGTCCTGTAACATAAACTTACATACGACAGGAGCAAATCGCATGTCAAACATTCGAAGACTGCTGCTCAAAGAGTTAAGAAGACTGCATTTTATAAGCGTCTTTACCCAGGAGTACTATATCATCCACATATTCTAAGTCAATAAAACTATTCCCTGGTAACTTGTCAACCCCCAAGTCGCTGAAGTCAATTCCATATGTGCATCTATGCTGAAATTAAACAGAAACGGGGACAGTGAGCATCCCTGACGGACACCACTGGTTGTCACCACTTCAGATGACGAATTTCCATAGGCTCTCACCTGGCTGGCTGCATGAGTTCGAGTAGAGTACCTTGACTAGACCTTCTCGGCTAAACATTGTCAGAGTACCACTCAGTCGACAGAGTTGAGTGCCGCCTTCAGTTTAAGAAATATCGCAATCGTTGGACGCCGGTAGGTATTCCTACGTTCTCTAATCTGGAAAAGAGTGAATATATGTTCAATACACCCTCTTCCTTGTATAAAGCCTGCTTGGTTTCTTTGTTTGTTTCTCTTGAGCACCACTTAATCTACACATGATTATTGAGCTAGAATTTTAGCATATTAGCCAAGTTAATCCCTCTATGATTATTCCTAGAAGAGTTAACTATCTTCTTGTATAATCAATGACTTACACCAATCTAACGGGACTATCTCATTCCAACACACTGCCTAGTACCTTAGTTAGCACAGAGAGATTTGTCACCACCATCCTTAAATAATTCTAAAATTACTCTATCAGGTCCTACTGCTTTGCCTTGTTTCAGACTAGTGACAGCTTTCGTAACCTCAGTTACGGATTAAAGATTTATATTCCATTCAGAGAGGTGTTGGATGCTAGGTAAGTTGGTTGTAGGCTAATTAAATTTCTCATCAAAGTGTTCTTTCGAACGTTCCACTCGTCTATCCCAAGAGCTGATTATGGTACCACTGTTCTCATTTATCATTTGCTTTTACCACCTGTTTCCTTTATAAGTCTAAATAGTTGTCTGGTGTTACCAGTCACCAATGTCTTTTCCGTCTCTTTTGCTTTTGTCGCCCACCACTGTTCACGGTCGTTGCGAAGACTTTTTGTCAGTTTGCGTTTGAGCAGCTTTCGCTCTTCATCATATTCGGAGTCCACCAGAATTAGTCTTCTTGCATCTATCAGTTAGGATCAAGTAGAGGAAATCCACTGGCTTTTACTAACCTTTAGTTTTAGGTCTTCAATAGCCTTTGTATCTGTATAAACAGCTGATTGGACATTGTGCCCGGCTTCCTCAGGATGAGTCTTGCTGTCAATCTCAAATAAGCATCTAGCTATTTCATCCTTAAATAGGAACTCAGTGTCCCAGTTAAGATGGGCGTTCCATTGCTGTCTGTTTTTTGTTTCCACTCAGCCGTAAACATAAACGAGCACATACTAGAGTGTGGTTAGAGTCTACGCACGTATTCTAGAAAGACAGGCAGTCTTCTACCAGCCCTCACCAACGATAGCTTATCGCTATGTGGTCTGTTTGAGTCCATTGGTAATTTGATAATGAAAGTCACTAGGTTAGGTAATGACTCTTATCATATTTGAAGTTAGTACTGACAAACTAATGATTATATGAACAGGACTGCTAAGGACTATCACAATTGTCAGTTCATAGGCAGAGAGCTACGTAGACGCCCCCGACATACTTTTCAGACTGACACAACCTCCCTACTTAGGCAGTGAATTTCCCTGTTAAAACGACTACACCCGGAAGTTTTACTCTTTTCAGCAGACTAGGCAGTTTTTGATAGAACTCATCCTTTACTTCGTTCAAACTGTAGTCGATTGGAGAGTAGGTGTAGAATATAAAGACATCGACGTAAAACGCAGTTCTTTATTCTTCTTACGAATCCATTCAGATGAACAGCACATATGCGACTATCTACTGAGATCCAGCAGAGCAGGGATTTCCCTGCCCTAATACTCCATGCTATTATCTACACCTGCGAATCCTAGGAACTAGCCAAATAATTTCCTGACACCCGTAAGTTCAATTCTGCAGATTCACCCTATTGACCAAATGACGTCAAGTGAATAATCACACTTGGGTTTTTCGTGCGTGTCTCCAAAATATAACACACATGCATGACTTGAGATGTCAGAGTTCTAGCTGGTGATGCCTACTGTCTGAGTTGGCGAAGAGTCCTGACGTTAAATGCCCCAATATGAAGTTGGCAGCGTAGCTTTAAGGGACTACCGGTATTTTTTCAGGCTGACGTTGTGATTATTGGTCATTGAGTGAAAAGATGTGGGATCTGCCTGTGGAGTGGTATTAACATTAGGAGGAAAATAAGATGATGGTGACGTAGAAAAAGGTGGGTGAGGGCTTCGTATGCTTTCAGTGTGTGGGTGGTTGTTACACTCCTGTTTCACAGCAGTGCAATTTTGCCCACAGATCCCCAAGCATAGTGCAAACATCTTATACTATGCCGGTAACTGTTTTTAGTCTAACTGCTATCCTAGCAACCTTTCTACCCTGGTATAACCTGCAGGTACATTAGTTTCAGTCAAAGCAGCTTGTTGATTCATTGTGATACACAGGTACGACCACCACATCAGGATAGCAGCTATCGGTGGACGAATATGCTACAAATCAGTTACTAAACTTACATGTATATACAACGGCAGAAGTCAATGTTTGCATATTTTGTTTACCTTTTACTGAGAAGCAAGCAAACGGTCAATGAGATTAACAACTCAATTTCATAATACTTTTTACACAAAGGGGCTAACATCACCACAGGTAAAACTCTCTAAGTAACCAGAAAAATATTTAATACTCTACATAACAGCTAGAAGGAAATTTACGTTTCAGCCTGATGCTTGCATTTTTTTAAATTGGGCTTAGCTTTCGACTGTCTTACTAACAGTTAAAGTAACCTGATTTTCGATTTCTTCACTATTTCTCAGCAACTTTAACCCGATTTTTGTCCTTCGGTTTTGTTATTTTCAAGGATACAATTCTTAGTTTGCAAGTAGCTACGTACGCTATGATTTACATTGAATCGTAATATTATGCGAAATACCCTTTAACTATTTCAGTTAGAGAAGCTGTGGTTGCCTAGTCAAAGAATGCACTTGGGCAGTGTGGGCAAAATGTGGGATGAATGGGTAATTTTGATCGGCAATGACGTGGGCAAAAGGGGATTAAAATGCCACATAATTAACCCACTTTACCTATATTAGCCACTTTTTCACCGTTTGCCCATGTCCCGAAGAATTTTATTGTCCCACTTTTTCCCACTTTATCCGAGTTACAACCGAAAACAGCCCGCTTTGCCCAATTTCGAACGAAAAACTGTCCATGTTTTTACTCACATATTCCAGGTCCAAAAGAAAATTCACTGAGTGGGTGTCTGGTCCGCATATAAACTGACTAAGCAGTTGGGCCACGCAAGTTCTGCGGCTCAAGTTGTATTGTACATCATCAACCAAAGGTATGTCCCCTTAACCTAGTGAGCAGAACTGCAAAAAGTTGCTTAATTACATACTGACTAGAAAGTAACAGTTTGGTCTGAAAAACTACACTGACACTTTTGGGCAAGTACTGTTACTCTGTTACATTCTACTGCATGGTTAGGGGAGATTGCGCGTCGTGCTGCTACACTTCTTCGCTAAGATCTATATTGAAACTCAGCTACAGCATAATTGCGCAACCAAGAACTTGTTTCATGGTTCTAGAAGTAATACATTTCAGTACGAAATGTTAAAAATAATAATAACGACTGGCGTTTTTATACTGATACAGAACTTATTCACAAAATAAGTTTTGTATGAGTATGGAAACAATGTTGGTTGTCCTAATACAAAAGAGCTGAGTGCATCAAAACAGAGTATTCTGCAGTAAAGTTTCTCATTGAACCTCAAGAATATTATCAGGGCAACTCAATGTATATGTTTCCATAATAACAGCAAACTTACCAGATACTTTTTATGTGAACCAAAGTTCTTCGATACGACATCAATCCGCTTGGCCTTAATGTCAATGATTGACTCTTCAACAACTGAAACCTGACCATTTGGAATGAATTTCAGCAACCAAAATGGAATTCTTTTTGATATCTTCTTAATTACTAACCGTTTGGTGTATAACTTTCCGTCCGGTAAGAATTTTCTTTCCAAAACGTCTTCAGATAATACATGTTTCCTGAAAGCCGCGAATGGATAATAAACGCATGCTTACGCGTATGGATTCGGATAACGCTTCCAAAACAGAGACGTGACAAATTCCCAAGGGAATGATAAATGTTGCGTTACATAAATGGGCATCAGGAGGAATAGCGCAGCTGTCTGATTAGGCGCCGGAGACACTTCAAAACTCAATATATCTGTACCATTCAACTTTTTATAACAGAAACAATGAATCGTAAGTAATTTAGTTTTTGCGTAAACATTTTTTTCAAAAACGCTTTTGATGTAAACGCGAAGTGACTTTCTTACGGGTCCTGTCACACTAAAGAAGAGCAGAGATTAGTCAAAATGTTTGTTTTCCACATAAATGCTGATTCATTCCGTCTTAACTGTAACGTGTATGTTCACCTTTATCTCACATTCCAGAATACATTCAATGAAGATTGTCATATCTGGTGTAACCATCTGGCAGAATGTGTGTAATTCACTCAGACAAAACCATATTATCATATCTGAGCATTAGCATATTAGGTCTACCTAGCCTTAAACGCTGCTGTTCTTCCTGTTGTTATATATGCAGTTAAAATCTTCAAAAAACAATATTTAACCAGGGCTTTTTGGCTAGTTACTGGGATTTCGTCAGGTCACACAACCAGACGACGTGATGTAAAGCCGAAAAAGCCTTAAGGAAATTTTCTAATGTTTTGCTTAAAAATTTCTGCACTGGTAGGTAATTCCCAAGAATTATTATCCACAGCATTCATCACTGAACATTGGATGCTGACCCTCTATGTCTCAGTCAATTCGTTTTGCTGAAAGCCTCCGGTCAAGAATCGACACCACTTGGCACACTGTCGTGTTATGTTCATTTGTTCCTTCGTGCACCATCCCTAGCTAGTTAAGCAATCATCCTGCACTCCGATTCGGTCCCGAAATATAATTCGTAATTTTGAGGATCAATTCTGTTGGTTTGCTTTGCCTCACAGCGAACGAATACTATAGAAGCTAAGGGTATGAGATTTTGCGCTAGTTCACTGCGTACTGTCAGTGAATGTCAACACCCTCAGTCTCTGGGCTTCCCTCCTCGCATTGTCATTATTATTACGTTGTAAAAGTAAGTAATTATGACAAATCCCAAGTAACGCTTGAATCTAATCTCTCTAGGTTGACTTGTGCTGTGGTGAATAGAACAGCAGAGCGTGAGGAGAGATTCTTTAGGTGAATCAAGAGATGCGGGGTTGTTTAAAATGCGTGCTCCCAAAGGTACATTCCCTATCTGTTAACCATCTTTCCCTTTCTAAAATTTTGCCGTAGAAACTAAGCAGTATCTTATCCCAACCGAACCTTAGCGGTTGCGAATCATCCTTTAGTGCACATTCCAATGTCAAAGACTTTGTTTCAACTTGTACATACATGAATTTTCGTCCTCACCATTTTTTCTTTACCGTTGTACTGCCTATGCACACATTCCTTGAGTTTGTGGTGCAGCCATACGCGTCAAATACGTTGTCAATGGAGTTGAAGATTGAACGATCAATTCTTGGTTGTTTGCTCAAAATCAACTTCCCCAATTTTCGCGGAGGCATCAATACGACAGTCATCGTCTCATCGGTCGCTGTTCAGAAAGAAGTCAGTAGCAAACCATCAGAAGTAATCTCGTGATTTATTATTGTAATATTTGTTCACAGACCTTAATAGAAATATTTTTTATATGTTGGTGTTACAATAAAGAATTCCCAAGCGGCCAATCGGTGTTTTGGTTTTCGCGTCCGTTACTATTAAGCGTTTCTGAAAAACTGCAAGGAACAGCGTGAGCCCGAGCGTAGCAAGAGCTGGGCATTGACGGTTTATGAGACGTGACTGACATACGTTCTAAACCTTTTTCCTTGGATAATCTTTACCCTTTATTGTACTCAAATATACAGCGCAACTGAGCACTTCCTCTATAATAACCAGATCTTTTTGATTTGCGCTTTGTCGTCAGTACTTGCAGGTTTGGTAGAGTGCTGAATTACTGGGTACTTGAGTGAATTGCGCGGTGAGGACTGGCAAGGTGTGGCTAATTGATAGCAGCACCAGTACTTCAGAACCTTAGATATTAGTGCAAGTGAGTCGGAGCCATAAGCACAAAAACAATAAAAGAAAAAGAATTATTACACGATGACAAATAGAATACTAGTATGTTTTTAGTCTCCAGAATGGGTGAAGCTTATTTTAGAAACAAGGTCACTGGGCTCACGCTCATATGCTTCTATCTCGCACCATCAGCTGCTTTGTCAATGACACACCACTGAAAACTGTGAACTGACCACAGATGGGACGGTGACATACCGGAGGATAGAATAGAGGATATTTGGTGGAAGGTTTGCAATGTATATAAACAGGAAACTTCGACCAACCTTGGCCAATAATAATAATAATATATATTCTCATATAAACATATAAATTTACATGAAAATGCATGCCATTTTTACAGGCACGATCAAGTATGATATAATATCAAATCGTAGATTGTCTACAAGTTAATAATGTTTCGACAGTTAAATATTTGATATATATATAAATACACATTGTCTGAACTAGGCTGTATAGTTATTGAATTGTACAATTGTCCTCCAGGTTGAGCGGGAAAATCGACTTCGTTTCGTTTTCATCCCGTGGTTGTCGGCATACGATAATGCCAGTCACCCTATTTCCAGGGTCACTCTAGCGTTGCCTGATCACAGAAAGCACCATGTCTCTGATCAGAGATTTTTATTGACCTTCGCCTTGCGAAATGTAATAAAAGTGATAGAAGTGACAGATCACCGCTGACTCAAACATACTGTCACTTGGAACCGAGCCAGGTCATACCTGCAGGTGAAATTTCTATAGAGGCTTGCTTAATGCTACCAAGACTGCAGGACTCTGTGAAGCCGTTGACAACGAACCACGAGGGTGGTGGAGACGCTAAATCCTCCCTCTAGTGACCACCTGCTGACTCACCGGAAGGCGGAGTCGGTAGTGCGGTAATAATCTTGCGCTCAGCTATTAAAGGAAAACTAACCAACGACAATCCTCCTGCTCAACGCCCTTACGTTAAAGTGAACTTTCAGATTATGGGAGAATGTAGTGACACAAGACAATCTTCGCCTAATTAAGCGTTGAGAGTAGCCAAGGTGATTTCTTAAGAAACTATCGACGATTCTGCTTCGTAGCAACAGTGACAGCCCGAAACGAATCTTACTGGATGAAAAAATGATTGATTGCGTTTTACCCTCAGACTGCTCTATTCTAGGGTTGAGATGCAATAGACTGGCGAACTTGCTCATAGATTGATTGACGCTATCTTTTACTAGTTTCAGGATATCATCAAACTTTGGCTCGATACCCTCATCCTACATACGAGAGCTTATCTTCACCCACTTCCTTTGCAGTCGAGTAGGTAGACGTCTTGCTGTTACTTCTAGGACAAAACTCGAGTTGAGGTCACTGATGCGATTCATCGAAATCATTCCATTCTTGTAAATTAGCAAATTATCTAAAAACTCAGTGAGTGCCTGGGAGTCATCCTGTAATTGACCACCATTACCATTAACAGCCTCGAATAATTTCCCTGCAATCATCGAAGGTCTTCCAAACCTTTGACGTAATATGCTCATAGCCTCGTAGTAGCCCTCTTTTGGCTTCATAAACTTACAGCACTGTATAGCTCTTGCAGCATCTCCAGTGCAATATCTCATCAAATACATTAACTTCAATTCATCGCTTAATAGAAAACCACTCAACATGATCTCAAAGTCCTTTACAAATTGTAAATAATCAGCTGGGTTTCCGTCGAAACATCGTGGTTCAAATTTAGGGAGTTTGATGTTCCTATTATCCCTGAACGGCGAAACAGTAACATCAACCATGTCATACTTAACATCAGACACATCGTTACAAGTAACAGACAAGTCACCATGACTTACTTTCCTGTTTGTATCCAAGACGCTCTGTCCCTTCATTGACCCAGGCATTGTTGAACTTGAACCAATTCTAAAGGCGTTCCAGATATTGCTTGTTCAAAGAGGACTTGGCCGGCACCAGGAAAGATGAACGGTGACTACCCAAAGTCGTGCCAAGTGTCCAAAACCGTTTAAAAACTGACGTTGTACTGTCAGAAACTGTCAGTCACGTCTCGTAAACCGTCAATGCCCAGCTCTTGCTACAGTCATAAATCAATACATGGTTCCATGAAACCAAAGTCAAAAAGAGAAGAATGTAGTTCAGTGCCCAAAGAAAATGATGTATCTGAATCTAGACTTCATAAAAGACTTAACGCGAAATATGCCAAAGAGGAGAATCTCTAGTTCCGTAAAGATATTTCCTCTAGCAACGCTAAAAGTGATACTCTTTATTCTCTCCCACTACTTTAAGGTGATTTGACAAACAAACTCCGGCGTAAGACCACCACAATGTAGTCATTCATCTGCTTCTGTAAAGATAGGTCGTCCTCTCGAGATATGCTGCGAAAAAGTGCCCGGCATGGTTGAGAAGAGGCGGAAATGGATCAATCAGAAGGTCTGTAATTAAACACCTCATCAGCACCTGTCATACCATATCAACTGACTCATCGTTCAGTCATTCACAAAGTGAACAAAGACCCAGCAAAGACAATGTGTTCCCGACCTTTTTGTACTGCAGAAGTCCTCGTCATATATACTGAGCTGTGCTCAGAAGAAACTGGTCCAACCTCTACGTTTACCATGAATGCAGTACTGTTTGGCTTCTTAGTTATCGTTTTTTCATTCCCTTCGTTTCTTTCATCGTTAGTTATAAAAATTATTCCAACCCGTTTCTATGCACATCCCGTTCACAACTATCTTCGTTGAAAACTGTTGTACGCATCACCCAACAATTTTTTTGATCCTGTGTAGTTTTGTTTCTGTTCCCTGTATTACCACCAAACTTTCATACCTGTAAGCTCCCTGTCACTATGATGGAGTAAATAATAATTGAAGCTATGTTAATTTGTATTTAAAAATGCAATTCTACAGCCTCTGAAGATGAAATTATCAAAAAGATACCTATGCTGATCTTTTGTTGATTATAGCTTGAAACCACACAGTATTTTTGGTACAAGTATGGGATTTTCAAAATGTGATATCGGTAGCCCAAATTGTGCAGGCCAACCATTGATATCTCTAGAGTTCTGTGAAACGATGGACTTTACGAAAATTTAGAGCACTTATTTAAAAAATATACTCCTTGCGATAACTTTTTCAACACTTTAAAATTTTAATCGTT